TACCGTATAAACCAGAATATAAGTCGAGATTTTTTCAATAAAATAATAAGCTAAAGTCGCCCCTCGTCTCATATAGCGGTGTCTAGCCGAAAGTGCGACGCTGTCTGGCAACATAAGGCTTGCATGTGCTTGTGAAGCCAGACACGGCCATATCTGCATCCAAATCCAATCGCAGTCTGTTTTCTTTGTGTTCGTGATTCGCTTCCGATCTGTTCCGAGTTTTCGCTCCGCTTGACATTGCGCTGCATATTTAGTGGCCTTTTTTTTTTTGGTTAACTGAATATGTTTAGCGGTGCGAGGAGGCAGTATTCAGCTGCGTTTAAACTAGATGTTGTTAAGTTCGCAGAAGCAAACGGGAATATGGCTGCTCAGCGCCGCTTTGGTGTATCAGAAAAAAGCGTGCGCTATTAGAGGGCGCAGAAAGGGAAGCTGCAGATGTGCAATCCTCGAAAAATGTCGTTTCGTGGACGAAGTGCCGTTCATCCGCAGCTGGAGGATAAGCTAGCGGACTTTGTGCGGGAAGTTCGTGCGCGCTCCCTGCCAGTGACCGTGGATACCATTTGCAAGAAAGCCGTGGAACTCGCTCGGGAAGCTGGGCTCACGAGAGAAGAGTTTCGTGCACCGAACTCTTGGGTGCGTCGATTTATGCGACGCAAAGGATTTTCTCTCTGGCGGCGCACATCCATCTGTCAAAAGTTGCCAGAGTAGCTCGAGGACAAGCTCATAGACTTTCAGCGCTTCGTAAACCGGCTTCAGGAGCAGAACGACTACATGATGGGGCAGATTGGCAACGCCCATGAGACCCCCGTGTGGTTTGACATGCCTTCGTCGACCACGATCACGCAGCGCGGCGCCAAGAATGTGAAGCTGTTGTCCATTGGCAACGAGCACTCGCGCTTCACCGTCATGCTGGCACGCACGGCAGATGGTAGAAAGCTTCCGCCCTTCGTCATTTTTAAACGCAAGACAATGCCGAAGGAAGTGTTCCCGCCCGGTGTTGTCGTTCGCGTCAACAAGAAGGGATACATGGACGAGGCCATGATGCTCGAATGGATACGAGTGGTGTGGAACCGTCGGCCAGGTGCACTGCTGCGTCTTCGCAGCATGCTGGTGCTGGATGCATTTCGTGGCCACTTGATTGACGCAGTGAAACGCACACTCGGCGACGGGAAAACGGACCTCGCCGTGATACCAGGTGGTATGACGTCCACCCTCCAGCCGCTCGACGTTGTACTAAACAAGCCGTTCAAGGACCGAGTGCGGTTGGAATACCAAGAGTGGATGTCCGGCGACAACCCCAAGACACCGACAGGCCGCCTACAGAGGCCTCCGCTTGCGACTGTTTGTGGCTGGGTGCTTTCCGCATGGCGCTCCTTGCCGGATTCCATGGTGGAAAATTCTTTCAAGAAATGTTGCATCAGCAACTCGCTGGATGACACTGAAGACGACGCACTGTGGAAGGCGGCCAGCGACAAACTGTTGTCTTCAGAAGACAGTGGTGCTTCGTCGGACGAATAGGAGCAGTTGCGATGGTGGTAGAGGGGAGCTCTGACGATCGGGATGCGGTGCACCCAATTCGCAAATAAATGTGGTTCGGCAGTTTTGGGTTGTTTTCTTTTTTTTCTTTTTTGGTAACCTTAACTTGGGGGGTCGACCTATATTCCCACTCGACCTATAGTTCGGTTTATACGGTAAGAATGTTTGTTAATATTTGCTACTGCTGTTATTGTTCTGGGAGCTGGGACTAGTCAAACTGCTCACATGCAGCTTTTATCCCACCATCCTTGTTGTTTAAACATGTTTTGATATATGTGGCAATAAAGTTCACTTCACTTCACTTCATCATTTGGGTACAAAAGGGCCAAACAAAGAAGTACGACAACTTCATAAGAAGCCTGTTGCACATGCTCCAACAAGCACTGTCATGACAACTTAGGCAAGTGAGCAAGGTTCTCATGAGACTTGCATACCCTGCATAAGTACTGGATAAATGTAGCACATTACACACACCCAAGTGGCATGTTTTTGCATTCGCTGCTACACCTCATGCTATAACCTCTGAATTAGGGCCAAGTCATGTGGTTGTATGGGCATCAAGTCACTACTGCATGCTAAAACAATCTAGTGCCTCTAAAGGTGTTTCAATGACACTGATGTTCACTTCGCACAGTTGTGAGGGGCTCTGTAATAAACAAGACCTCATGCTTCCAAAGACATTGTTCGATTCCTTGCTGGCAATGCTCCCATGTAATTTTCACTGCACTCTTGTTCTGCTCATGGTAGCCAAACACTTACGTGTCTTTGAGCCAGAAAATGTCCACGTTTTGCCTGCTTCACAGCCTAACAACAATAACATTCTTGTTCCCACTCAGGAATTTTTCTAGATCTCTCACACACACTTGCTTTGATCTCAACTTGTCTAATTCATCCTCCACACAAAGTGGCTTCTATGGCTGATCTCTTTTATTTTTTAAGTAGCCGTAATGTGAGCCGATGATGCAACAAAAGCTTAAAGTAAAAATTGTGAACATACATCATCACTGCCATGACAAAAGTTTCACCTTTAGAAATTCATTTACTTACAGTCTAAAGAAGGCCTCTCTGTGGAGGACTTTCAAATAAAGAGCACGTTATTACAGAAATATTAGAAGGAAAGGTGTTCGAATTACAAAAATTTTGAATAAAAACTAAATATTTTCTTTAACTGATTCTCATATAAAAATGCATATTCAAATGTTCCAGAATATTCTACCATGGTCAAATACAGTCGAACGCGATTATATCGAACCCACATATATAGAATTTTCGGATATATTGAACTCGTAAGTTATACCCTTGAAATTTCTTTGTAAAAGTACAGAAATTCACCCGTTTGTATCGATCAGTATTTTTACCCACCTTCGGATGTATTGAACGCTGTGCGAGCTAGAAGACGCACTTTGGCACTCGCTCCCACACCCCACCCCAGCGCGGTCCCTGCCGCAGCGCAGCTCAGCGCGCGAGTTGGAAGGTGTTTTAGCACTCGCAGCACTTGGCGACCTCCGCGCGACACCCCGCTTTTGCCAAAACCCGAAACGTTCGAAAAAAGGTAAGAGCAAAAGGGCTCGAACTGCACAATCTCTAACTCGCTGCACGGCTTTTTGTTTTTTGTTTCTGTTGTCTTTTTCATGCTTCCCCCAATCGGAGAGCAGGAACAAAGGAGCCAATGTCCTCCTCCTTTCGCCTTTTCTTTTTGTTGTTGTTGCTGTTTTGCACGTTTTCATCAGCCAACCACAGCTCGCGTCGTTTGCTGTTATCCTCGCCATTCAATGCTGCATTCAATGCTATGCCATTCAATGCTGTCTCTATTTGCAGAACCGCAAAGTGCACCATGAAGTGCATGCGTCTGCATCATGAAAATGTAGATGTGAAAGCAGCACACAAGCAGAAGGTACACATTTTTTTTCGGTTGATGCAATAGAGCGTGTCTGAAACTAAAACCTGGTATGGTGGAACTTCAATTATAAGCCTCCCGGTTTCGCGACAACCTGCTCTTTACGACTGATCGATTTGGTCCCGGCAAAATCCACCTAATGATAATGTATTAAAAACCTTGGTTATACGACACAGTTCTATGCCGACCGCCACATCTTATGACGACTCTCCGATTTCATTCGAAATAAAACATTCACCTTTTCGCGCATCGAACGTTGACCGAATACTACTCACGAGGGCAAAATATGAAGTTACGCGTTTCCCAGGTTGATGATTAGCAAAGTACAGATTGAGACAGGAAGTCTTCTTAGAATTGAAAATTTATTCTCTTGGCAGTTCATGCACTTCTGCATACGCCTCAATCACGTGCGCACTCAGGGTCGTTACCCAGAGCAGCTCCGTCCAGAGTAGCTTCAGCTGGCCGAAAAGCTCTTTTTCGAGATGGTGATAATTTCATGTTTTCGGCATTTGAAACCTTTTCCCAGACGACGTACAGCTGATCTCCTGCCTTAGTTTGGGGCACTCGCAATCGCAAGCTCAAGCACGGAAAAAGGCTCTATGCCGCTATTTTCGCCGTGCAAGATAACTATAACTTGACACCAATGTTCTTTATAACAGCAAAACATCACTAGTTGCATTTCAGAAGACAACAAATTACAATGCGCACAGCTCAGTTGGGCATGAAGGCATTCTACACAACCTCGTGAACTTGTGGGTCGCCATTATGTGATGCCGATGACGCTGTATCTAACTGTTCAGATGGGAGGTGGTCGGCAACATGGTTTGTATTTGGTTTTCTCATGCAGGCAATTTTCAGACTGCTTTCCAGACTGTGCCTGTTGTTTTGGCTTCATTATGAAAACACATTCACAACCAGTGTGCCCCTCGCATTGCGAAGCCTGTCTGTCGACAACCAACAACTACATGTGATCAATTGCCAACAACGCTGACACATCACAAGGGCCTGCAGAGGAGAGACAGGTACAGCAAAGGGCACAATTTGTCAAGAACATGGCTTTGCAAAAACATACCTTTCCCACACTACTAGCCAGTCAGAACAAAAAGCTGTTGCTTTCAGTCGCCACCCCAAAAACAAAACACATCACACTGGCCTCCCAAACTCTCAGATGCCACCTGGCAGCCAGCTATCACCTACGAAAATTGGCAAGTAGGCTTTGGAAACATCTTTACCCCCCTCCGCCATGTATTGGCCACAGCTGCTACATTAACTATGGAACTTGGCCATGCCATTCACACCTGCGTGCTCTAAAAAAAGTGCTTAAGTAGTACAGTACCTTAAAAAAAAAAGCTTACGTAGTACAGTACCTTCAACACTTCCAGAGCTACATAAATACTATGCCTACAACCTTATCGCTATTGCCTCAGTGACAAACACTAAGTGCCTGTAACAAATTCCTAGAAGCTTGCGTGATCGTCACATTGGGAGCTTGATACCCAAATTAAATTAGGTAACATAAGAAAACCTAGCTCAAATGCAATTTCCCACAGTATGATGGGGCACTCACTTGCAGCAGTGATGAATGATGAGCTTAGCAAGCTCATGAATACGTGGGTACAACCTAGGGTTTTTCATAAGTTGTTCAAGCATCTCAAGACCACCTTCTTCTCGCACCAGGGGGCAGTACTTGCCAGCTGCAAAGCAAATGATACGCAGTTGAAGTAAACCATCTTGGCTTGCCGAGACCTCCACATACAAAACATGACAAGCAGTTAATTTTTCTGCATATTAACTTGTAATAAGTGCATTACCAAAAGTCTCTTCAGCAAACTGTAGCCTGGCTAAATTGAGTTTTCTTATGGCCAATTCCACTGGGAGAGCAGGAGCACTAAAAAGCACACGGAAAGTGCTCTCTTCGGCGCCGGCGTGTTTGCGTGGTCAAAGAGGTGCAAATGCACCGTCATCGATTGGTCGAGCGAAAGTGCTTTTGCTGCGCCGAGAGTGGCCAGGAGCAGTTTGCAGTGCTCTCGCCTGAAAAGCGGAGTAGGCGCTGTATGACTAGTCACGTGGCCTTTGAACGTCACAATCTCCGAATTTTTCATCAGCCCACGCAAGTGTGGCGGCAGTGGAAGCAACTATGTGTACTTTTGTTCCGATATTTTGTACGGGTGGGAACGATGACAGCTGGACATCTGCTAAATACGTCGTTGCGTGAACATACTATGTATTGGGATAATGAAGAACAAGTGGCTGACCGATTTTATGTGTATTTTGCTGCTGCCCCACAGAGAATACGCCGGGGCTTGGAATGTTTCAGTCACATGATCTTCCCACTTGTCACCCACTCACCTGCTCACCGGGAGCGTGCCGCATTCCAGTGGCCCTGCACTCAGTGCTCTGCCTCCCACATCTCACTGTCCTCCCCTCTACTCCTGTTCTCTCAGTGGAATTCGCCATTAATTTATTGTGCAACTTTTTAGTCTTACACACATGCTCCAAATAAGATTTTGAAATCAAAGACAGTTTTTTTTTTGTTTATTTGTAATCTATTCTAAATTTTCAGTAACCCACACTCCTAAACCACTCAGTGCGAAGCACACTTATAGGTTATTATAGTCACTACGTTAGATGCGCTGTAATTCAGGTACATGAAGGCAGCGATCATACTTTTAGCTGTGGATTTGATACGTGATGAGGAGGAGTATGATTAAACACAAAGAGAAGTGCCAGCATTGAAAAAAAAAAACTGCACTCCAGTGTTCCTGCATGACCTGTGAGTATTGAGTGGTAGCTGCCATACTAGATGGTTTTTGCTCCCAACTGTGTGCAACTTGTGCCTGTTCATATTCGCATAGGACCAAGCAGCTGAAAATCATATCACAGCAGAAGGTGTGCAGTAGACTTTTGTTTCAGCCAAATTGAGAGACTGAGCATTTCGACCGCCTACAGGACCAGTCGATGCTGTTCTTTTTCCCCTTTGGTGCATATTCAGTCCAGCCAGGTGGTGATGGACAGGGAAAGAGAAGAGCCAGCTTTCTGAGCAGTTGGGCAGAAGAAAAGAAAGTGTGACCGGTCTGCATATGTAAAAAGGCAGTTGAGGCAGCAGGAGTCAGGTCTTTATTTATAAAGAAAAGACGAGAGGGGGTGATTAGGTAATTCACTCGGATGTGCCACAGAAGGTGAGCCTCTGGCACAGCGAGTGATGGATGAGGGGAAGAATGAGGATAGAGGTGCTTGTTGAGCCATCGCGTACATAAATGCATGCAAGCGGCATGCCTGTTGGGGCATGGTAAGTATGGTAGTCTCGGTCCCCTGGAAATGGAGAAAATGCAGCAGGGAGGGGCAGGTCAGGAGATATTGGTGGAGAGGTGTCCTATCATGGCGAAGGCCGCAGCAAAATTTCGAGGTCCTTTCCACTTGACACTTTGCCACAGACTAATGACCACACTCCCGGCAAGAGTTGCTTGCAGGGAGTTGAGCATAGTAGTGAAGGATTCCAACTACTAAACTGGATTTTGAGGGTAGTAGGAATCCAGACAATTGACGTTTCCAGTTGAACCAAGCCAGTGTGGTGTGGAGGGGTGGTGGCGGTTTCTTCCAAGTCAGCCACTGTGGCTACCTTAAAGCCAGAGGTTGGGAGAGGGAGCACGGAAAATTGCTTATTTAGCTCCAGAAGTTGAAAGATAAGATAAAAGGTGGTTGTTTCCAAGGTCCGCACCATAGCTTCGATTTTCTGTTGTAATACATCAGATTTGTGGGGTTTAACGTCCCAAAACCACCATATGATTATGAGAGACGTTGTAGTAGAGGGAGGGCTCCAGAAATTTCGACCACCTGGGGTTCTTTAACGTGCACCCAAATCTGAGTACACGGGCCTACAACATTTCCGCCTCCATCGGAAATGCAACCGCCACAGCCGGGATTTGATCCCGCGAGCTGTTGTAATACATCAGAGACGCACTCTTGCAAGAGAGCACTCCAACATAGGGAGCTGGAAATTAAAGGTGCAGCTCTCGTTACTCAAGGATTGTGAGGGCATGCTAAAGAAAGAAGGGCACACCAGTAAAGCCCCTTTCAATTTCAGCGGCGTAGAAACCTGAAGGGGGTGTTATGATTGTAGCTTGGCTTTATAATAAACACTGGTGCCAAAACCCAGTACACTACATGAGCCAGAAATAAAAGAATTGCACTTATAAGAGAGCGGCTTCTAGGCCAGGCAGGAATTATATAGTACTTGCAGTAATGCTCTTATTTGTGTGCTTTACTTTGTCCATATCTGTAAGGGGGGACGTGGCCTTTGGAAAAGGAAAAATCGCAAAAAAGTAGATTTTTGGGAAACCACATACTCGGGCAGTACATGTCACAAACTACCTTTACTGCAAATATCAGCGTCTAACTGATCGCGAAGCTGCTTGAAATAAAGTTTACAACAATCTGCCGCAGCCATCGAGCGGCGCGGGAGCGCTCAAAATAGCCCAACTCGGTGTGATCGCAGTTTCTTGACCGCTTGACAGAGCTCCGCTATTTTGGTGTTGTTTTGTTTGTGAATTTTTGCACCTTCTTTTCTTGCCAGCCGTGGCAGCGACTGGCAGGAGAGGAGCAAGATTCTCATGATTGAAGGGCTCGCGAGAGGTTTGAAGTTTCCCGCAGCAGAGACGTGCCGCCAGGATTGGGTGATGCGCGCACTCCTCGAGGACGAGAGGAACCTTGCGACTGTGATTGGCTGCTGGGTGCGATGACGTTGACTCTTGCACATAATGTGGCTCGCCATCTGCTGCTTCTCAGTCCCCGGCGTTCCGCTCGCTATCGCCTATCGTTGCACCGGCTCGCATAGTCTCTGCGTTTCAACCGTTTTTACGAAAGGATTTTCAAACGTCTTCACAAGACGATGTTCAACTTTCTTTATGAGACCATTGTTGCATTCGCTCACGATGTGTCCAACGAAAAAGAAGACGCAACAAGTAGCGATCTATGAAGGTCGTCCGCGTGGTGAGGCTCTCTGCTCGCACGTGCGCTGACGGTGATCCCGCGGACAATATATGTGGAGCAGCTTCTTCATCTACGCAAGAGTGTGGTTGCATCGACGCACCTAGACACACGACTCCTGCTTCACCGGTACAAAAATTTGACGTTGCAAGTGCACCTGGTGTCTCATGCTCATCGACAGGACCTTCCACATCCTCCCTTACATTGGCCTCTGAGAGTGCAATCGTGTCGTCAACTGTGCAGTTGCGAACATGTTTTCTGACATGCGTAGAGAACGAGGCGGCGGATCAACAACATGCTGCTATTCAAAGAGAATTCGGCGTTATGCCAACGACAGAGCGGAAATTTCAGGCAATGGAGCGCGACCTGGCCATTCAACGGGCAACCAAGAAAGATTCACTGCGCTTGAAAAAGGCTAAGCAGAGATCCTTACAGAAGACGGAAAGGCGGCGAAAAAAGCGAGTGCCAAAGGACACCTCCAGTTATGCTGCAGGGTTGTTTTAGATTTGCATAAGTGCCCAAAACTTTCGAATGTCATTTTCTCAAAATGACTTTTTTTGCTAGTGAGGCTGCTTGTTCCAGCCATATCTGGGGAACCACTCATCCTATTTTCATGTCTTTTTTTACTATGTACGTGCATAAATTTCTGAGGGGGAGACAAGCCCATTTTTTGAATATATTGTGTCTGTTACTAATAATACCTACCGTAAATACTCGAATCTAACGCGCACCTTTTTTCCGGTTAAGCGAGTTCATAAATCGCATGCGCGTTAGAATCAAGTACGAAAAAAAAAAATGAATACGGTCATTCTATTGCCATTGGCATTTCCAAAATGGCCGCCCCCAACGTGCGTCGGCATGGCGCGTTGGCCATTTCTGCCTATGTGTTTCCCATGTGCGCCATTTCGTATGTGTGCTGAGGAGTTCGTCATCTTGTAGTGCATTAGCATCGACGGCATGGAAGGGCCAAACTCGAGTGCACCACAATGCCGCTTTTAAAAGAAAAGTCATCGCGTGTGCAGAAACGGACGGAAATCGGGCCGCATCGCGGTCGTTCGGAGTTCCCGAAACGTGCGTGCGGGACCGGCGGAAACAAAAGCAGAAAATTGTCGACAGCAAAGCTTCACGCAAATGCATCAGTGGACCACAGCAGGGTCGGTTTCCGCAAATTGAAGAGCTGCTGGGCGAGTATGTGCTTGAGCAGCAGGCGGCACTGTGGCCCGTGATGACAGAGCTTCTCCAAGTGCGGGCTATGCAGTTAGCCTTAGAAAAAGGGCTAATGCGGAGCCAGTTTAAAGCGAGCAGGTGCTGGCTTAATAACTTTATGAAGAGGAAAGACTTTTCCCCCCGAAGGCGAACGGGCATATGCGAAAAGTTTTTGGAGGGGTACGATGAAAAGCTTCACAGTTTTCAGAGGTTCCTCCTAAACTTGCAGCACAACGGCTACCTGCTAGGGCAAATCAGGAATGCCGATCAGACGCCTCTTTACTTTGACATGCCTGGCACCACAACCGTCGAAAAGAAGGGGGCGAAGCAAGTTCGCGTGCTGACATCAGTCCACGGTAAAACTACAGTGACGGCAATGCTCCGTTACATGTCAGATGGGCCCAAGCTTCCCCCGTACCTCATATTTAAATGAAAGACGCTCCCGAAAGGAGTCGTTTTTTCGAGTGGTGTGATCCACTCGAAAAAACGACTCCTTTCCTGATAACTCTGCGGGCCAACGAAAAAAACGGGTGCGCGTTGCTATCGATGTCTTACTTTTTTTTTTTTTCGTCGTGGAAACCGGGTGCGCGGTAGAAACGAGTAAATAGGGTAATCAAAACTTGATTAATATTATCCCAGTCACGAACACTAAATTTGATGGTCCGCTGAAACCTTAAAGTAAGGAAATTAAAAAAGAAGAGCTCTGTTACCCCCTGAGGTATAAATCTGAGAATTATCATTGTTAATTTCACAGTTCCAGCATCTTTTAAAAGTTCTCCAGGCCTGGAATAAGATAACCATGTGCACTATTCTGACATAGTGCCGTAACTGAAGAACCAGAGAACATAAATTCATGAAATTTTGTAGTATTTCTAATGCTTTTGCCATTAGTCTATCCTGGAAATTTCATTGAAATATCTCAATAAACAAAAAAGTTGGTATCCGATAGTAGCCTCCCTCCTTAATGTGCAAACCTAAAAGTATCGTGTGTGTACTGCAATATTTGTGGTCTTCTCTATTACGAATATTGGTGCCAGGAAATTGATAAGAATAGAGTCCTATCGAACAGTCTTACTGTAAACTAAAACAAACAGAGCTCTGCATTCATTACATATAACTGCACATTGTGCAACACTTACGATAGACTTGAGTAAGGTTGGCCAGGGCCCATACAGCCCAGTGTAGGGCTTCTGGAGTGTGTTCACAGCTCAGTAGTCTCAGGATCGGTTCAAACGATCTGCACAGAAACACAGCCAATCAACAGGTTACTAGATAGTACCATAGCTTATTCAAAAGCAGTTGCAGAAGGCACTTCATACAATAACCTACACAATAGCTGGGAATCACATGATGGATACATGAGGCACCTTGTGCACTCACTTGCAAAAACCCTGAACTGCGGGCCTTTTTCTTCTGGGAACATACACAAACACACATATCTGATACAGCCCAAGGGCCTTTTAGAGGCTTATAGGTTTGATGTTCAAACATGCTTTCTTGCACATCCCATACCCATTGAGATACATAATTACACTTTCACAAGACTCAGCATCAGGTTGCTATTGAAAATCTCACACAAGTCACCAGAAGTCTTGTGAAAATGAAACTACAGTCAAAGCAAATTTAAAAATTTTTTAAGTGCGCCGAAAACGTCACGTTTAGAGCTGATAACTCTGTACTCTGTACGGTCTGAAGTACCATTGCAAAAGTTTTTCACTGAGTCCACGTCGGCATATCGACGTTCACACCTGTTACACGATCACCAAGCTGATATTCCACGTAACTTCGTTGAAGATTGTAACTGCGGCTGTAGGCCGTCAGTTGGTTTTTGATATGAAGGTGGACGAGTTGTCGAGACATTAAGGCACTATGGAAATAGACAGTCACGTCAATGTTTTCTTTGTTGCTCACGTTGGGTAACATGGCCGGGCTCCTTCCATACACCAACCTGTATGGCGTCATTTACGTTGTTTCTTGCACAGCAGCATTGTACACGAAGGTCACGTACGAAAGGATTGCATCCCACATCTTGGGCTTGACACTGACGAACATGCCAGCATATCGGCGATGGTCTTAAGACACTCGGTGAGGCCATTTGTCTGTGGATGGTAGGCGGTGGTCCGGCAGTGACTTGCCTGCACAAACGACGTCGTCCAAGTAAACGACTCTCTTGTCGACTTCAGATTTGCCAGTAGCCAGTCTTGAGGTCCATTGACAAAAAGTACTTCGTGTTGAGCAGTCGATCCAAGGTGTCCGTGCGAAAGAATAAACACCTTTTTTTGTGATTTTGTTGCAGTGGCGATAATCGACACAGAAACGTAGGGTTCTATCTTTCTTCTTCACTAAAACCACGGGTGACACCCACAGACTCTTGGATGATGTCGTCACATAGCGTTTTGTCGACTTGTCTTTTTGGTTTGGTTTGGTATGTGGGGTTTAACGTCCCAAAACTACCATATGATTATGAGAGACGCCGTAGTGGAGGGCTCAGGAAATTTCGACCACTTGGGGTTCTTTAACTTGCACCCAAATCTGAGCACACAGGCCTGCAACATTTCCACCTCCATCGGAAATGCAGCCGCCGCAGCCGGGATTCGAACCCGCGACCTGCGGGTCAGCAGCCGAGTACCTTAGCCACTAGACTGCCGCGGCGGGGCGACTTGTCTTTTTACGGCCTCGCATTTTCGCGTCGAAACTCTGTACGATGTCTGGCATAGCAGTCTGGCACTTTCCTTAGTTATGATGCAATGTTTCCCAACTGGGGTCGCAAAACATTGCATCATAACTCGCGAAACAAATAAAACAGAACTTGCCAACTACAACATCGAATGAGCATTTAGTGCCCTATTAATTTTGTTAGTGGAAACTGCAGGCAGGGATAACACATATTTTTTGCTTAATGCGATAGCAACTGTATGGTCATTCTAGGTGCATTTCTACTAGCAGCAAAGCCTAAATTGGTAACATCACCCCTGTGCATAGTATATGTTCTATGTGTGAAAGAAAGTGCGCAGGTGCTGCTGATCATGGCGGCTGGAACAGAGGTGAGATGTACCAGTCATCTTTATCCCACGAAAGGCACATGAAGCGGTGCCAGAGGTGGCTGCGTGGACCTGACAAAAATTTGTGCTTTGAAGAGCTGGACGTGGTAGCCTGTGGTAATGCGTCATACCTTTAGAGGGGATCAGCAGATGGATTATAGCTTTATAAGTGTAGTGCTCTCATCGGAAAATTTGCATTGAAGCCATTAACAGCATAAACAGCTGCAAATAATGCATTTCCTTACGCTTACATTTTCAGTTTCACTAGGTTATATGCTGAAAGAGTGAGTGGCTAATCTTAGTTTGTATAACATTCCACTTTGTTGCTAGCACATTCATTGCTTCGCCACTGTGGCGAAATCTCCTGCTGAAAAGACCTTGTGTCGTATATAACTTCACTTTGTTAGCCATAATTTACTCTACAAGCTACGTATGACCAGCAGAAATTTTGAAACTGAAAACACTCACAAGACAGTTCTCAGACAGCAGTGACCTTTTTAGCTACTTTATAATGTACGCAACCATTTGGTTTGAACGTAGCTTCAACAAAATTTCACGATGCGATTTCAGGCTCAGATATTTATTGCTAAACAGTAAACCCAATCTTTAACATTTTGATGCAATTTCAGAACCTTAAAATACGTCGACGAAGTCTAAACGCGCGTTGGCACTACTGGTAAAAGCAGGGCAGTTTCGCTAGTGTGGTAACTAATCAGGGCGGCTGTTCGTCTGCATTAACAACAAAATCAGCTAGCCACGAGTGATGGATAAAAATGGCATAAAATAAGGCGAAAGTCACCGCTCCACGATACCCTGCTGCCATCTCGGTGTTTTGACGGCGGACAGCTGCTGGTGTTAACGTGTTAATTAAACTGTCTGGTTCATTCACAAAAGCGGTTGTAGTCATTGTTTCAACATGTTTTTCACCATGGCCTCACTATGCATTGATGAGAATCGCGTCGTGACGCTGCTGGGATAGAATAAAAAGCAGCGGCCACTTTTTGAATTTTGAGAATAAACATTTGTTTTGCTTGTTCAGATCGGCTATATTTTTTCAATTTTACTAAAAACAATTTTTGCTTCAACAAAATTTTGTCCGTGCCCCTTCACGTCGTTGAAGCGGGGTTCGACTGTACTACAGCAAGAAAACTACTAATAGTATGATCAGAAATCAACATGCCAACTTTTCTTTGTGGACAAAAATTTTCGGAAACCTTAAGCCAACACCTTAGGATAATACAAAATTTGTAAATATGCTGGAAAGTTTGGTGAGTCAGCAGGCAGGCTTTCATTTCAATGCTCCATCATTATTTACCCTGTTTGCAATGTAACTTCCAAGGACAACTGACCGGTAGTTAATGTTGCGCTTGGTGATGAGTGCCCAGCGGTCAATGGCTCGCCGCATGCGCATCAGCACTTCATCTCTTGAGACAGCCTGGATAGAAGCCTTCTCCCAGCTCTCGGGCCCGTCGGACAGAATGTGTGCCAGGATGCCTGCTGCATTGTAGCTCACCTCTATGCCATCGCTCTCACTGTCCAGCAGCTCGCTACAACAGAACCAACAGTGACAACATCAGTCAGGTAACTTACAAACTTTCTTTCTCTCTAAATCATACCATGTACAACATAATTTAAGAGAACGAAACAAACAGCATAATGTTCAGAGTGATAAGTTACCTAAATGTCGTTTTGCGAAGATCTACTATCTTCAATGAACATAGCAACGAACATTAGGAATGGCACAGTGAGCCAGTTATCACCATTAACACGCACACAGCATTCAAGTTTAGTAGCACTGCACATAACAGTGTGCACTATAACCCTTGCTAATGCTTGCCACTGTTCGTGTTTCATTATACACCGATAGCACACCTGCATTAAAGCTTGGCTCAGTTTACAACAAACACAGCTAAAAAGCACAGCTAAAATCTGTGACTGATGTTCTTACTTGCAAGAAAATATTGATAGTTGTACAGAGATTGGATTGAATCTGAAACACTGAATTATCCAGTGAATTTATGGTTATCGTTCACAACATATAAGTAAATGCTTTTTACACTTTGTGTGACATAGCAGACATATGCACACATCTAAGATAGTAGGGAGCCACATCACAGAATTAGCAGAAGAGTGTACAACCAGAGTCCGCCTACCTGAACACAAGCAGGTACTTGTCTTGCATGAGTCGTGGCCTGAGCTCCTTCACCTCAGCCACATTGCCCTGCATGACAAGGCAAGGCCACTTAAGTATATGGCACATTCTCAGCCCCCAGGTGTCTTGAAAGATCAAAGTGCTCTTTTCAGCAATGGACAACTAAGGCCTTTTGTGGGCTATGCCTTTTCAGTTTGACACCTGGTCAATATCTGCCCCCCCCCCCCCCAACTGACGCTCCTTATTTAAAGAAAACTTGGATAGATGACACTGGCATGAGCCACTTACTAGCTATGTGTCCGTATCGACAGCTTAACACACTGCAAATAGATAGCTTGGGACACACATTATGCTAATACGCGATGCCTAAGTTCCGAAGAGCGCAAAAAGCGTACAGATGCAAAAATAAAACATTCTAGCGTATTCATAACAGCTGATGTGTTGTACATAACAAATGACTTCAAATGAAATGAACACATTAGGAGGGCACAAGACACTCCCCTACAGCCAATTCCTGGACAGCACTACCGCATGTCACAATCTCATCGCCTCACTGTCCAGAGGTGCAACAGCCAAAATAAAATTTGGAGCAATTTTTGGAGCAGCAAAATTTTACTTTTCGAGCCATAAAATTCAGATTTGGAGCAAGTTTCGGGGAAAAAAAAAACAATTTTTTATCACGAAAGACCCAAGTTTGGAGTAGTACAAAAAGAGAAGGCTTAAGTTTAGAAAAAAAAGTATGTACAAACCATTTGACATCACCTGAATCGTGCAGTGTACACATGAGCACTGTTATGTCAATAAAAGTAAGAATGATAAAGTCCATATTAGCATTTGCCGCACCTGTCAAATACTTTGACAGACGCTGCAAATTAAAATATGAATCTTTCAAACCTAGCAGCTTTGAAAATCAGAGGATTAATGAAACTCGAGAGTAGGGGTGGCAAAAAAAAAAGAAACAGGCAGTTTTTCTTTTTTTCAAGGTGCCAGCAATGTCATACACTGCTCTAAATGATTGCCCATAGCATTTTTAGAAGTCAGCAATCATACTAGTATTCACAGTTATGCGATGTATACACGCATGAGTAACTGAAAAATTTGAGCCGCATCCCGTGACTAATGCTAAGAGCCTTTTCCAAATCACAGTACGGTTTTCTGCAGTGCATTGTTGTACTGCAGCAAAAGTAGCTGAAGAAGGGTTCTGGACGGGTTAGAACAAGGCTAAGAAATTTTCTAACACCGCTACGCACCTTCCCCCCCCCCCCCCTTTTTTTCCAGGATGGAGTCAGCATTAAAGGGCCAGTAAACAACTCTAACGTCCAAAAATTGTTATAAAAAGAAATACGTGCACTTTTACTTCGTGAACCTGCTGCCGCAAGAATTTTGCGAATACGTGCTATATTAAGGAAGTTACAAGGGCTAGAACATCGCGCTCAGGTGGTTTCAAATTTTCGCGCACCTTCGTTATCCTTTTTCAGAGAGAGGGGAAACCGTGGCCCGTTGTCCTGACTCCGCCCACTTCGGCAATGTGACAAGACGTCAGCGATTGACGTCATCGGCGAACTCGATCAGTTCAATGCACTTCCGCTTGCTGCGATGCCTGGTTGTTTACCATTTACCCGGTGCCGATACTTCTCCGCAGACCAGTCGCTCGATTTGCAGCCAACAACGATTTGCACCAAAACTGCGTTTCAAAACCCGCACATGAAATTGGCCGTATTTTTCTGGACTTTCATTTTTTGAGAGTAGACTGTCACGCCATCTGGCAGCAGCAACACAAAACACAAATAATGTGCCTAACAGTGGGTGTACTGATCAACAGGTGGCGTGACAATGTGCTCACTCCCAAAAACTGCGTCAGAGAAGCGTCCCGATCTCGATGCAAGGAGCCTACGGAGAGTTTCGCAACTCATGATTAAATAGCTCTGTCGTAGCTGTGGATGGGAACAGGAACTGTCGTTGACTTCACTATTGTTTGTTGATGCCTGGTTTAGACCAATCGACGAGCTGCATGCTGCGTCACTTCGCCAATCCCCGAGTTGTCCTCACTGCACATGCAAGGAGCATTGGTCAGGCAAAGAAAAAGAGCACAGGAATTGTTTTTCGAAATGGAGGCTCTGCACGGCGCGCAGCTCTGTAATATTCACAAAATGTGATCGCTGCGGTCTACTCTACGAATCATCGAGCTTGTTTGGGGGGTGTACAAAAAAAGTCCGAACCTATTGACTGGCCCTTTAAGCTACAACTTCTCACAACACTTGCAAGAAGCGTTATACCAGATAAAGTAACAAAGGCATGTGCTCGTTAATCCGGTATTTGATATTTATCGCCGGGACGATACAACTAAAGCAACTTGAAGACGTTAAAATGTTTCATGTGCCTTTGCTATGGCGACCAATATGATCGCAGCGCCGGCATTCGCAGCACGTCGACTCTGCTCGTGCGCTAAAAACACGATATGCACTTCCCGCTCTAGCCGCTAACATGTCATAGCTACATTTACCAACTAGAAAGTTCATAATTGCCGCAAAGCATAGGTGGCTATGGCAACGCATTTGTCTAGAAGTAGTGTCATCTCACCGAGAGGTATCAGCTGCGGTCAGCAGACCAATGGGCGCCCGGCTTTGTAACTTTACCAGGTCAATCGCAATTTGCGAGTGCCCTGAACTATTAGGAATATATCTGACACCGCAGTTCAGGGTCAGCACACTTAGATTGATTGATGATGCAAAATAAAGGTTACCAACGTGGCCTCTATTTCTCGCTGAAATTAGCACAACTGAGAAAATTTTGAGGCTGGTCGGGCATTTTGTCACTGTATAGGGCAATTTCAGCAAATTTCATGATTTTGGCGCACCTCGGTTCAGAAATGGGTATTTGTATCAAACTGGCGTATTTGGCGCAGCTGTTGCACCCCTGACTGCCTTCTGATGTCAATTCTTCTTTGATATTGTGGAAAAAAGTAATTGTGGTTGCAGATTTCTGCAGTAAATAAAAGCGTTGATGCAGTAACCAAGCATAACACATGGCTAAATTAGGCTTGTTGCCCCTTAAAATTCATTATTTAACTTATACTGTAATTATTAAATAGACCTGTGTTACATTTTAAATGACTTGTTCTATTTTTCGGCCTAAGTACCGCGAAAACTCGCGGTGTTTTTTTTTCTTTTTTTACAGTACAGTCATGAGATCTCTAAGGTTTTAAAAAATGTCTATTCATTTAACCTCAAAAACCACCGAAGTCTGTGTATTACTTCAAAGGTGACAATTCAGGAAAGCCTTGCTGATTGACCACATAGTGCACAATTTCTTTTTTTTTTTCTTCCTCTCAAATATTCACAGCAAAGGCCCATGTGTCTCAACAAACTTAAATATTCTGAAGAAATCAGTCACAACCTTTTAAAATACTTGAACATCACTGCAAAAATAAAATGTAGTTATATATTTCAGTAGAAGAATTTACACAGACTATATTAGGACCATTTTGTACTTTTATGCACAAATCTGCTAAGTAATATAATAGCAGAAATCTGAAGCTAGTGTCCATGGGAGCTGCAATGCACTGCGCTTCAGCCAGTAGATTGTTTCCTTGGTCATCACCCGCAAAGTGCTTTGCTGCATGTATGCTCGACATCCATGTGCTTGGGCGAGGAGTTCCAAGTGCTGATACACAAATGCTCTAGATACATTTCCAAGGAGTTAGTGCACAAGGTACTTCATCTCATGATCCAAAAGTATACTTGTGATGTTTTTAATCATGCAATTAGAGGTGTTAATCTCCTTCCTCCAAATGGCCACTTCCACTTTCTCCTCTTGAAAGCAACTGAACAAAACCTAATGATTGATGGATGGGTGGATAGAGAAAACTTCATTTTGTCATAAAGTAGGTGCAGATGATTCTGTGAAGGAGTTGACTGCACTTCTGAAAAGTTCGTGACAAGCACATAGCACTTTAGCAAATCTGGGAATTTAGTCTAAGAGTGTGAGTGGTCCACACACAATGTTATACGTCTTTTGACATTGGGCGAAATTCCTGCCCATACAGTAAACATGCTTTGCCCCAAAGCCCTAGTAATTAAACACTTTGGTTAAACATTCTCCACTGATAGGTAAATGCTTAACCGTGAAGCCAAGAAGTTAGTGGGCGACATGCTTGCCAGACAAAATAAATGTCCAGGAAGGAGTTGACTGCACTTCTGAAAAGTTCGTGACAAGCACATAGCACTTTAGCAAATCTGGGGCTGAACATTTCGAGAATTTTTTTAATTACAGAAGACTTCTGCTCTCTACTATCAATAAAAAAACGACTGCAAACATGCGACTATATAGCGGCTATTTCCACAGGGACAAAATTTTGAGGGGCCAGGGGCAGATGACGCACCCAGAGAGAGAGCATCATATGAGTGGCGCAGCATACTAGAGCCACATGATGGATGTGGTCATCAGAGGCCTCGAAGCAACCTGCTGTGTTGGCCAACTCAGGCCCAGTAATTCAGACAAGGGTTGTGGAGCAAACAACACAGGTCGCCGTCAACCTCGGGTTGATGGCCATCTAACACAGAATCATCTGCACCTACTTTATGACAAAATGAAGTTTTCTCTATCCACCCATCCATCAATCATTAGGTTTTGTTCAGTTGCTTTCAAGAGGAGAAAGCGGAAGTGGCCATTTGGAGGAAGGAGAAGTGCACTTTCCCAAAATCCAAGATGGTGGCACTCAGCTGTGCCATTTCAGAGATAATGAGACTTGAAACAGTTTTTTTTCTAAGATTCTTAGCAACGTTGGTTTATAAAGCAACTTTTATAAAACTTGACTATGGCTTTCCCTGAAGCTGCTTTGGCTTCAGGTAAAGCAAGGGTTACAGAAACTGAAAGTCTGATTGTCAAAAAAATTTAGATTTATTGGATATTTTTGCTGTGCTATGTTCCTGTACCTTCATTTAGAATTTTCAAGGCATCCCCTTTGATTGATTAAATTATACAGGAGATTGATTGATTTCATTTTGATTTATATGTAGAGTTTAACGTCCCAAACCCACCATATAATTATGAGAAATGTTGTAGTGGAGGGGCTCCGGAAATTTCAACCACCTGGGGTTCTTTAACATGCGTCCAAATCTGAACACACAAGCCTACAGCATTTTGGCCTCCATCATCATTGTCCAAAAGTATTTTCCAGAAAAAACTGAAGAACACTTGCATATTTATTCTTATGTCAACAAATGCAAGTGTCAGCTATCTGTTTCTGAACCCCTAAAAAATCTTGCAGTAATGCTAGACTATCCCAACCTACCTACAAGATGCATGACCGTTAAAAACCAAGACCATTGGCAATGGCTACAAGTTCTAGAATAGTGTTGCCCCAACCTGGTGCTTCCTTCAGCATCCTATCTAGCCATAGTAATAACCTCTGGCCATCACTCACCAGCAGTCCCATCATGTTTCTCAGCAGCTCCGGCTTGTCCGTGAAGATCTGAAATGAACAACAGACAAATGCCTCACCATCTGAGAACTAGATCTTCTTAGTTTTCTGGACCTGAAGACACAAAACAAGAAAGCAATAAGAAATACTGCATACTGTAAACGTTTTGTGTTGTTAGCGTCTTATATTTACCATCACTTAACCCTTTGTGCATTCCTACACGTTTTAAAAAACTCTAACGAGCAGAACAAATTATCAGAACAATGTATCACCGTAACCACGTACCGTAAAAGTGTGAAATATTTCTTCTTGATTTCCTAAATATTTCTGACCCACAGCAGCAGAAAATAATAGTGCTGATAGCAATGCACAGTGGAGAAGGAAGCTTCTTTTACTGAAGAAGAAAAAGTAGGACAGATTCGCTCCATTATCCCTAAAAGGGTAAAGCGCGAGTCAGCTGTAACAGGTACCAATGGCACATGTGGGCTTGCTTGAATTCTAGAATCACGGCTATGCTTCCACCCATATGAACGTTTTCTCACTACAAATGTACTCGCCAACTACAGCTTTGGCATAGACTACATGGTGCATTAAAGGGATACGAAATGATAACATTGTAGCAGAACAAGAGTTTAGTCCTTTAATGCCTGAATTATGGAACTGCTGAGCAAAATAGAAATTGTTTTAATTTTCCAGCTTTAAATAGCAACCTTTAAATGATGCCACAATTAAATTGGCTAAAATGCAACTTCAATGCATATTTTTGAGTAGGTCGCAAATTCTCCATTGCCACAGAAGTGAGGACCTTGCAACAAAAAATGCACTTCAGAACTATGTAACATGTTGTGAGCCACATCTTGAGTGCATACACACTAAATGAACAAAATTATTGAAAATAGAATTTGGGCCACCAAGGCGAAAAAAACGAAAAATTGAGAGCTGTTGCATGTGCTTTGCGCTTTCCGCCATCAGCTTCAATAGTATTGGTCCTAGCTCAAAATACCTTAGACGAGACTGCTAAATTTTTTACGCTGAAAGCTGCATGCCCCGTGAGTACTTGACAGCAGGCATTAAAGGTGCAACGCATTTCGTGACTTACTTGCTTGAAGTTTTTCAGCATGTCACGAATTAGGGACATTCGGTAGTAAAGAGTCAACTGCTAAAATGACAAAAACAACAAAGTGATTTGAAAGAAAGGACGAGAAACATAGTTTTTGAGCTATTTTTGGTAAAGACTAGCATCCTAGCAGCAGCCGGTGGCAGCTGCATTAATATGTCATGCTACCCTGCACACAAGCGGCTACAGCAGCCGTGGGTGCCACGGTGCCTGTTCATTGGTGTCTGCACTACTCGCTTGCAATTGTGGTACGCTCGAAGTGTGGGGGACCCTCACTTCTTAGTAGGACACATGCTTTCCCAGTGTCTGTTTTCAGTTTTGAAGCATTCATTGTGATGCAAAGACAAGCCAGGCTTCTGCGATGCTAAAGGCTGTCACAACCGTATGATTGGTCACGACACACCGCCGCATACATTTCCTAGAGACGATAAGCGACGCAGACTTTGTATGCGTGCTATTCAAGTATCACACCAGACCTGGGCACATTTATAAATTGCCTTCATTTGCTAGCTCTGAACACATTATCGCTTCACTTACCTACATCTGAAACTTAAAAAAAAATACTGCCAAAGCACAGTACAGTGACAATACCTGGCTGTAATGTAGGCAAACGAGGCTTGCTTGTGAATATTCCTTGCTGTTTATCATGACGAAGCCACCAGATTTCAATTATTTCAACCTGTAAATGACTTGTCATAGCGTGGATGTGAAAGTTTCTGCCATATTCACACAACAATAAAACTGCTGTGAAATTCTGCACATACGGTGCCTCGCCACAAAAAAACTAGCTGTGCAGCAGTCAAATACCGACTGCATGGGTATACACGTAGGAATAAATAGACTGCGATGCCTTGATTCAGCTGTAATAACTACCTCTCTGCTTCAATAAAGATGACGAAACAACATATTTGACATCCTTCGAAACATTAATCTTCTGCCACTGCACATTGGACTACGTAGCTGGTCTGCACTGCCTCAGTGGCACATCCACAGCCTCCTGCTCATATATTTCTCACTGGGCACAGGATACTCGTAACCGAAATTTCTTATCGAGCTCAAGTGGCTTACATCATTACAGGTGAATTCATGGCTGGTAGAGAGACCACGACAGGAATGCCCATTGTTCAGCTATGTGAGGGTGAGCGCGCTTCAAAAGATGGCGGCTGGCCGGCCGGCTGTCAAATAAGGGAGTCATGACATCACGGCTCGCAACTTGTTTTGGCCAAGCAGCTTAGCGCATGCTCACAAGAACACAGAGAATAAGACAAAGTGCTGAAAATTTCGATAAGTGACGACTTCTTTTCGGTGTAATCGCACACAGAGCATTCATTTTCAGCATTTTTGCAAAGTTTTCAGATTTTAGTTCAGTATCCCTTCAAAATAACAAGAACTGAAAGAATTAACAAACGCCTTCACAGTGCAAAATCTGTTTCCTGTATCAGCAGTTTGTGGAAGTAGACTCGCCCTAAATGCTAAAATAAAAACATAAGCTGTACTAGAAATTTTGTAAATACTAGAAAAACTTTCAAAAAAGGTGTGCTTGTTTATCAATATATATCTTTGCTGCTCAAAAAAGTTTCTTCTGCTTAGGGTGCTGAATTCAGAGGATGCAGGCTCTTTATTGCAGTACGATAAAACTTTCAACTCTTAGGCTCTTCTCTGTAGCTACCTGCAGCACTGTGGAAGCTACAGGCTCATTCGAAAAGAAAGAGCAAAGTCGCAAAATGTGTCCATCCGTGCCATTTTGCCCACTCAGCGTCCTGTCAATACAAGCTTTCTTGGCATAGTGATACACAAAATGTTTTAGGAATGTAGCCATGAGCTGGTTTACATGAACTTTCATATTCAAAATGTTCATTTACCAGACAAAACTGGAAGGTCGCCAAGGCTAAAAGCCGTGAGAACGGCTTAACAAAAGCCCTGGTGACCTGTTCACACACATGGCAGTAGTTTGGAAATGATTACAAGTACATAACATGCAAGAAGAATATAAAACATGAACAATACATGTTAATTCCAAAATGATTTCTCAACTAATTATTCTACATCTGCTGTAAATGCAATAGCAGTGCTTCCCTTCATCCTTACTCATTTCCAACAGTGCTTTGCAACCTCCTTGACCAACAGTGGGGGGGGCAAATGCCTCAAGTTCCACCATGCTACATTGTGTGCGCAGAGGCTAGTTGGCACTCGCTTGCTCGCAACAGTGTATACCATAGTAGAGCAAAGTAACAAAGTAATGATACAGGAATGACACAGCTCAAGCGAGCTGGTTGATTATAGCGAGGTGAAAAACAGCGCACACTTGATGAGGATAGACTGAGAAAACACAGCGCCTCTGACCTGTGTTTCCTCGATACATCCTCATCAAATGTGTGCTGCTTTTGCCTCAGTGTAATGATAAAGCAAATAATTAAGCTTTGAGAGCAGCTCGCAACATCAACACATCATCAGACATAAAGTGGTGGGGCAGTCTAGCAAGTTCAAATAAATCACACTTTTGAGGTTTTGCACCACTTCAGAAGCTTAGCAAAGACAAACACACAGTTTATCACAATATTCGTACCAAAAGCATGCAAAACAATTTACTCTCAGGGTGAGACGAGACAAAGTGTGGGTCATTTCAGCATTTGTTCATGCTGTCAAGCTGGAGAGCAAGCAGCAATAGCGAATGGACAAAGAAGCAGACAGTTATGTCAGTACTGGCACTGCTATGTTGCTAGGTAATCATAGTTAATGGAAATAATAGCTAGTCTTTCAGTGTATTAGATATCCATGTGCTCAGCATGTGATGTATCACATATCGCTGTAGCATATCGTGTACCAGGTAGAAACACTCTAATGCGGTGAATAACAAGGCAATTTTGTCTAGGTGTAACCTGCAGTGCAAGGATGTTCCCTGTGTACACCACCTATCCTCATCAGTGCTGCAAGTTACTTCTGAGAAAGACATTCCTCTCAGCATGTCAACATGAGCACTATTAGGACGACTAGCTACAGACCAATATTCCATATATGCTATGCCGATATTTCGGGACATTAGAAAATATGCTCTTTGGACTTGCTCATTACTGGTGCCAAACACACCTGGTAACTCTCTCCCAGTGTATGCAACAAAATGGTAGCACATGCTGAAAGAGTCCAGAGGTAATTATGGTGATGGTCAGAAGGATCTAGCTGAGAATAAGTATACTGCTCCAGCAATTACTTAACATAACAGTGAAAAAAAAAAAAACGAGCATGACCAAGCAACAATCCAGCAAATTCGGCTCGTCCAAACTGGCTGTATTGAAAGGGCGAGCTCTCAAACTGTGAAGACAGTCAGTCAAAACTTTCAAAACCATCAGCGGAAAGAACAAAACCGAAAAAGTGCTGCTGCCCCCTGACTGTCTTGAGAGCAGCAATGCCCAATTTTCATTTCTTTACTAAACGCTCACATATGCTGGAGCCAAAATGTAGCTACTATATCAGTGCACTCAACTTACCCTTAAACACCTAAGAAACAAGTTCATTCCCCCACCGTCCAGGAACCTCTCACAGTTTACTGGTGTTTCATCTGCAGACAAGTGAGGCAATCATGACTGAGATTCATAGAGGTGCACAGCAATCAAAAGAATAATTCAATAAAAAGATCCTGGCAAAGTAAAACACTTCCATCATTTATGTGAAGTGCCTCAGCAGTGTTCCATATCATACAATCAAGACCACAGCTATTAGGCCTAGGTAGAATTTATTCATGCTTATGAGAATTGAAACATCAATTCGGACCCATGCATCCAATATTTGCATCTAAACTGGATAAAAACAAAAAATGTCAAATTCCTGCCAAACACTTGCATATCCATAGCAAACGACATATTAAAGCTCAGAAAAAACAAAAAGCCCACAAAAGGACATTCTACACAAAAAGCTTTCACAAGGCATGTTTGGCTAAAAGCCAATAAATTTGTACTTGCACAATGATTTAAAAATTTAAACAAGGTTTTTATACACATAAAAAGAATAATTCATGTTAGAGCAAGCAACTCTACATTATTTTAACCATGTAGGATTCTTTAATGTCAATATATATCCAAGCCAGGCCCATAGCCAGGAATTCGTTTCGGAGAGGAGGGGGGGAGGGTGCTTGTTAAAGGCCTTGAAAAACACCTAGTATATTTTCATTGTCCTCGATATCATACCTCTTTCCATCTACCTTTGGTAAGTCTACAGGCCTGATCAAAGCACAACCACCACTTTTTTCGATATTTCTGCCCAATTTATGATGCAATCAGAAAGCAGGCTGCATCTAGATTTGTCGCAAATGTCCAGGACTATTCCGCAGATAATTCGCCTGCAGGCACATCCACACGATAGACGAGGTCCTAGCGAACAGCACCGGAAGGTTGGATTACAGGACCACAACCTTTGTGCCAGCTGCCAACAGACCAGTTTTAGTGAGTTGAACAACATGAAGGCAGACAAAAAAAAAAAAAAAGAACAATGTTCACTTTGTCAAAGCACTCACAAGGGCTGTAATTTGTTTTGATGAAAACAGCTCTATTGGCTTAAAGGCTGGTTGAGAAGAAAAACCTGCTGTAAACAGTATTGTTGAAGACTATAGTCACTGCTGCTGCATGTCGTGCCCCACATACAAAAAGAGAATACAGTGATGCGCCAATCTGTATCGACAGTTTTTTATCTTCTGTAGACAATAGGCATCAATCAAGCACATTGCTCTGCTCCACACTAAGTTTTCATCTCTTTGCAGTATTGAAACAAGGTTGCAGTCTAAGACAACCACTCTCAGCGACAGCGACAGTTTGCCTCACATAAAATCCAGCTTGTGCAGGGATTAAAGCGACAACTTACCTTCTATTCTTTAGCCCTTCCAACAGCACACACCTAAAGTGATAAAAGCTTCAACGACGAAGGTCTCAAAATAAAACCCTAGAAATAAACTCAACCATGCACCAGCAAACCGTGAAGTAATGTCGACAGTGAAAACAGCCTTACAGTTCAAGCAGTAGTGTACCAGTTGCCAGACACTGCTCACTTGTCTGCTAAAGGCTGAACAATTACGCCACCAGAATCCTGATGTGAAAAACAAGTTGACACCTGTCTGTGCACCATCACAATGGGGAGATATTGCTGATGTGAGGTCACATATGCACCATCCGCCCCTTCAAATACAGATTCTGTCTGTCGTCTGAATGCACGCTTACCACAGCGAGGTTTGAATTTGTAATGCCATGCTAAGTGGTGTAATGTCACAGTTATTAATCTAGCACAGCGAGTTCTTCAGCTTATTGTTTTAGTTCTACTGCAGTTGAGAGCTCACTTCTCAAAAATTTCATGCCAGTGCTGTTCGTTAAAAGTGAAAAATCGACTTGTCTGCGAATGAAAATTCTACATACACTCAAACCTCAATAGAGTTAAACCTAGACATAACAAAATTTATAAACTCCCGAAAAAATTCGTTAAACCTGTGTGGTATTCAGTTTCAGTTTTGCTTCTGTTCTTTCATCTCTAGGGGGGCGCATTCACTAATTGCTATATAAACCATGTACATTGTCAATAAAAAAAGGGGTCTTGTTTCGTACGTCATGGTGGCTGGACCGCTGACTCCTTTTTCTTAGACACTACATTTGCGACCAGGATATCGTGAACGTAGCCCAAGCAGCTGCTCCCGTCTGTGCCCGGCTAAACATGAGCTGCCCCGGTCTCGCCCCACAACCGTTCTTCCTTGTGACGCCTGGCCGACCGCCACTACCATGGAAGCAGTTGGAGCAGATGTTCAACGTGTACTTGGCAGCTTCCGGGGCCGCTAAGTTCATCGTCGCAACAACGCAAGGTCATTCTTTTAGATTGTTTGGGGGCAGAGGGCCACCGTATCTACCAAACCTTACCTGCAGGGTCGACCGCCGCAGCACCAGCACTGCCAAGCGCTGCAGCAACCACCGTTAAGGACGGGGACAAGTCTGCCACACCACTTCTGACGAGTATGACACTGCACTGGTGGCGTTACGGAATTGCTCCTCATCGTCCTGCAACGTTGTTGTCGAGCGTCATCGGTTTCATCGCCGCCGGCAACACTCAAGCGAGTCAGTTCATGACTTTGTTGCCACCCTCCGGGAGCTAGCGTCGCACTGTTCATTCGTCTCTCAAGATGACGCTCTGCAGGATCAACTCGTTACTGGCATAATTTCCAACTGTGTTCGTGAACGGTTATTGCTTGAGGGCCCTTCACTTTCATTCGAAAGCTCCGTGCGAATCCCACTTGAATTTGAGCATGTAGCTGAAGAGCTACAAGAATTTCCTTCTTCAGTCAACCAAGTTGCAATGCAACGTGGTCAAAAGAAACAGTCACATTCAACACAAAGGAGCAATTCTCAGCCGGCAGCCCACTATCAACAAAGGTTAACAAAGAGCGAGAGCGGCTCACGTGCGCCGCCGCGACACCGTCCTTGAAAGAAAACCAAGAACGCAGCAGCCGTTTCGCGTCACTGCACTGTTTCCGATGCGGCTCGCGGGATCATATCACAGCACCGGCAGTGCCCACTGCATACAAAAAGTTGTTTGCTTTGCGGTCAAAAGGGCCACTTTCAAAATGTATGCAACCGCTAACGAGCTCACGTGCAAGGCAGGGTCTGCAAAGTTGAATGTAATGATGATGTTTCGTCATACAGCAATGCTGAGCAAGTATTAACTGTGGCACATTCCGCTTGTAAGGGAACGCACATAGAAGTGCTGGTTACCAACGTCAGGCACACACTGCTAGTTAATTCAGGGTCATCTGTTTCAGTTTTGTCGGAGCGAGAATTCCGTCGAAATAGTGAAAGCATTTTGCTTCTGCCCGCACCGCACGTCAGCTTGTTCGACAATTCCCAACATCCCACTTGCGTGCTAGGCTGTTTCCCAGCAGAAGTACAGTTCAAAGGTCACATTGCATCACTCTCGTTACTGCGTTTATTAGCAGGCACACAGCGAGTATACACAATGGCGACAGTAACGGCCAAGCACAGACTCTCAGCGCGAGCGGCGTCCTTTTTTGGGTAGACCCACTAGAGAACACTTAAGAGTTTGACCCACTTCAGTGTTCGGCGGCTTCTCTACAATTACCCCGGGGTCGAAGAGGGAGCCGCCTGGCGACCTAACAGCTTGTCACTACGAGCGGGTCATAGTAAGCCTTCAGGCGCTCCACGTTTACTATGCCGCGCCAGCGACGGCGCATGTCCGAAGATTGTTCAATTGGCTCGACAAGATAGTTGACTGGAGATGTGCGCTCGATCACACGGTAGGGACCTTCATATTTCGGGAGTAGTTTGGAAGAGAGGCCAGCTACAGAGGTCGGGATTGAGAGCCATACAAGAGAACCAAGAAGGAATGTGGGTTCAGAAGTGGCGGAGCCATCACGAATACTCTTCTGCTGCTCTTGCTCATGCGTCGTAAATGTCTTGGCCAGCTCGCGACACTCTTCAGCAAGCCTGGCTGTCTCGGAAATAGGTGCACACTCAGATGGATCCGGCGTGTACGAGAGTATCGTGTCGATGGTGTGACGGGTGCCTTCCGTACAGCAAGAAGAAAGGTGAAAAACCGGTCGTGCTCTGAGGGGCGGTGTTGTAGGCGTAGGTGACGAAGGGCAGTATAGTATCCCAATTCGTGTGGTTGGTGGCGACGTACATACATCGAAAGCATGTCGCCGAGGGTGCGGTTAAAGCATTCGGTCAGACCATTCGTCTGCGGGTGGTAAGCAGTTGTTTTGCGGTGGACAGAATGGCACTCCGTGAGAATGGCTTCGACGACTTCTGACAAGAAGACACGGCCTCGATCGCTGAGAAGCTCCTGAGGTGGACCGTGGCGCAGTATAAATCGATGCAGTAGGAAGGACGCAACATCACGCCCAGTAGCCGCAAGGATAGCGGCGGTTTCGGCGTATCGCGTTAAATGATCTACAGCGATGATGGCCCAGCGGTTACCAGCCGACCTCAGAGGAAGTGGTCCATACAAATCGATACCTATGTGCCCAAACAGACGCTAAGGGCAAGGTAACGGTTGCAGACTGGCTGGCGCCATGTGTGCTGACGGTTTGCGGCGTTGGCAAGCGAGGCAGGAGCGAACGAACTGCTGCACGTAGCGGTACATCCCGGCCAGAAGTAGCGTTGTCGAATGCGACGGTAGGTTTTGAATACCCCAGAGTGCGCACATTGCGGATCAGAATGGAAGGATTCACATATCTCTGACCGCAGACTGTGGGGTATCACGAGTAACCACTGCCGGCCATCGGCGTCGTAATTGCGTCGGTGTAGAAAGTCGTCACGGATGACGAAATGGCGAGCTTGACGACGCAAGGCACGCGTGAATGGCGTTGCGGATGAATCAGAGAGCAAGTAGATGAGCGGGCCGATCGAATTATCCTTTCGCTGTTCGGTAGCGATGATGTCAACATCAATGGCAGGAACAGCAGCCGAGGATACTGAGCAGAGCACATCACCTTCAGGCAGAGGGGAGCGCAAGAGGGCGTCGGCGTCAGCATGCTGGCGTCCGTTGCGGTACAGCACGCGGATGTCGTAGTCT